CTTCGGATTATCATACCCTCTGCCGCCCTTCTTCTTCCGAGCTCCTTTCTTGAACTTCCCATACTTGGTTATCTTGACCATGTAATACATGATTCCTACTCCCACTCCTATCAATCCAGCGAGAGGTGCACACGTGATAGTCAGGCCGGCTACGTGCAACAAAAAGTCATTCCACCATTCTTTGTTCTTAGTAGTCTTGTATTCCTTGTTGGAGATGTGTGCAATGAACCAGGGGATGTGATAGACGAGTGACTTTTCGAGAAGCGCAAGGGAGAGACTGGCTTCTACTACGAGGAAGATGGCGGCAGCTATGCGGGACCAGTAAGTTACGACGGGTTTATTTATGGAAAGGTCTCTAAACTTTTTCCAGGTTTTGTTGAAGCGACCTATGGCGCGCTCGTGAGCATCTTTTGGGGGCGGAAGTTCTGGTTCTTCTTCTTCGTCGTGATCTTTCTCTTGCCCATCTTCCCTCTCTTTTTCTTTTTCTTGGTCTGAGTTCTTTGGCTCCTCCTTCTCTTTCTTGATCAGATAGAGAAAGCTTATTGGAACGCGCCATAGTACAAAGAATGGGAGTACAACGATGAACATGACGAGGCTGATAATTATCTGTACAGTCATGAGGAATCCCTTGGTAAGTCGGCCGCGCTCGACGGCGTGAGGAAGTTTTGTTTCGTCCACGGTTTTTGTGGCCTCCATTGTACTAGTTGGTTGTGCTCGAATGCTGATGTTAGAGTCCTAAACATATTGGCGATCGTGTATTTCGTAGAGACATCTCAGAACGTGGTACACACGTGTGAAGACTCATGACGAATTTACTAAATCTTCAACAAGTGCAAACTAGTGAAGCAGAAAGACAGCCTTCACGATGCTGTACTGTGTGATGTCAATATGTTACTCTATACTCGGGTGGTATGTATTCCAGGCCCAACCCTTCAAAGACCTTTTTCTCTGCATCTTCTGGTGTTCCATGGACTCCATTGGGCCCTTCCAGCATTATAGCTTCACCGGTACTTCGACTCCGAATACCGCTACTATCAAACTTCCAGCCTTTGGCTGCTTTCGCATATCGCCTGAGATCACGCTGGAATGTTGTACCACCACTCCATCCCATGACTGCGCAACCTACGGTTCGCCAAGGAGCGACGATAATGTCAACTCGGCGATGAATAGTGGGGTTCTTTGCTTTAGGGTTCTCTAGGATATCCTGGTCACGGGTAGGCCACGATGGGTCTTGCCATACAACAAGTGCTTTATCAAGCGTATCAAAGCCAACACCCGCTCCCCTCGCTGATCGAAAAGGCAGCGCATATTGACCCCGATTGGTGTTTTTCAGGCTCAGTGTGAGGGTATGAGTAATCCACTCAGCTTCTTCCAATGATTCGACGATCTCTTGAACCAATCCTGCTGTACTATCCAAATCTGGGTGCGACACGATCATGTCCACATCGCCGGACTCTGTCTTGCCACGTCTGTATCCGCCTACAATCGTCACAGTAATTCGTTCGTCGCGAAGCTTTACTGCGTGCTCACGAACAACGGCGGCGATCTGCTCAACCTCGGAGCGTGGAATCGGCACCAAGAACTCGTCGTAATACTTGACGCCAATCTGCTGCACTCTGTCCAGATCGTTCCAGCCGTACTCGATAATATCGTCCAGCTCAGTCCAATGGTTGTTGTGGTAGAAATGCCGTGCGGTCTTCGCTCCAATACCCCAAATATTGTAGAAGGAACGGAGAACCTTCATTGATTCGTCGGTCTCAAAATCTTCTACGGCCTGAATCTTACCCGTATTCTTCCACTCTACAAAGAGGACAGCAGTCTTCTCATCACAACCAGGTAGTTGTGCAATCTCTCGTGGGTGACTAAGTCTATAGGGATATGCGGCGATGGATGCAACGATGGTCGAGTAAGCACGAACACCAATGTCGTCATCGATTAGGGTTCGAGCAGTTCTAATCTTCTTGAGTTGGTCAAGGAAATCTTCATTGGGTCCGTTGCCAGGTGTAAAGCGCTGACAGGCGTACTTGATGCCCTTCTTCACCCACTCCGGTGGTGGAGGCATATCACTGTCCTCGCCCTCATACTCGCTTGTCGTTTGCTGCAAAAGATGTGCAGCTTGTGAAGCATTGGAGTGACCAACAGGTTGGGAGGAACGGGTAAAAGTCTTACCATCGAAACGATTAGAGCCATGCTTTCTGAGTTCCTTAGGTTGATAAGTACTTTTCTTCGAGGCCGTAGGCGCGTCCAATTTTGCGCGGGCCAAGATGTCCTGCACAGGATGTGGTCGTGTTGCCAAGAGCGTCTGGGACACTGGCGTTGCTTTGGTATGTGCCACAAAAATATCTCTGATGGATTTCGTGGTCAATGACTTAGGCCTTTCAAGAACTTTGCCTTTGTATACTAGATTGTCCTGTAGTGGAAGTAGATGACCTGCAGTTACACAAGCTTCAACCCAGTCAAACTTGACAACCCAAACAATGTCTTCACTTGACGAAGTCTCGAACATTGGTGCAGGATGTGAACCATTGTCGGACTTCGAAGGTGATGGTAACGGTATGTGCTGCTTGTTTGTATTTGGTGCTTCATCCTCAGTTTCGGAGTTGTGACCAGCCTCGTCATCGGTAGTAGAGTCTTGCTCGTCCGCTGGTAGCCGACCTGATGTTTCACCAACTCTTCGTCTCTTGCTGTCGTGATTTTGTACCTTCACGGGACTTGCTGGCCGTTTGGGTGTAACGAGTTCCTGAACTACCAGCTTTCGGGACCTTAATTCGAACTCAGCTCTTTTCTTGGTACCCACCTTCCCAATGAAGACTTTCGCCCTTGAGATATCGGTGATAAGCGGTGCGTCGTACTGGCGCAATGTTTCCTCGAGTTTTCTCACTTCATCGTCCTTCAAATGCGCAGTAAATATAGCGATTGGTGGGAGTCTGCTAAGATCTAGGGCCTGTGCGGATATTGTGGATGCTGGTGACTGTAATCCTGGGAGTATTATCTGGTGTGATTGATCCTGATCGTCCATATCGGGTAATTTGATGCTGCGCCGATAGCTCCAAGCAAGGGTGGTCAAGACGTGTCCAAGAAGCCAGTCCTGTGTCTTCGACTGTCTTGTTTGGATGTCCAGTTGATCATCATTAAGAGGTCCAGATATGTATGCGGTAACATGTGATGTTCAAATGTGTATTATCCAGGTGAGTATGAAGCTGTTCCCAATGTCGCGCAACGCTGATGACGTCGGCGTGATGGAGAGGCTGGGAGTGTTTGCTTTGTTTGACCCCGATTGTTCTTCCAAGTCCGTGCATGTTTTAGTGTAGCACTAACGTTAGCGCCCGCGTCGACGCGCAATCCACCTGTGACATCTGTTTCAACCAAGTCCAGTCCAACGTCTTCTAGGCTAAATCTCCGGAATCCTTCAGCTCAACCGCCCGGCGTATTCTGTAACAGAACTCACATCCGCACACTTTGGCATGATGGTGGCGTACCAGGAATCATGCGAGTTGAAACACTGTGCCCAACCGGAGGGGCAGCGATAGAAACGTACTTGTTCAGATCTCGGGTGAAGAAACATCAGCCGAATGGTTCTGGTGCTGGTTGGCTCTGGTCTGAAGACGTTGATGCACGCCTGGCTCCCCTCAATGGATTCATGGATGTCATGTCATAACCTTCCTTCCAACTATATTGGGCAGGTCGTCCACGCGTTTGTCACCACCCCTGCCTTTGACAGTGTCGAGAACAAGCAAAAGTCGGTTGAGCCTACACTGGCGTCTTCAGTACGCGGTCTAAACCCTGACTTTCTGCCCTAACATCACGGGCTAAAGATTGCGCGAACACCTTCTCCTTGCCGCTGATCGTTTCCCTTTGGTGCGCGGACCGCCGTTTCGGAATAATTGACAGGGCGACGTAACCTCTGAAGACGTCTCACCTGCTGGTTGGCGGATATATAGTAAGCTTGTATGGCTAAGATGCGGGTGATGATGCATTTCAGACGAACCGGTCTTCGTTCGCTACTACCCCGGCCGTTCCTGCAGCGGATATAGATGTGGATATTCCTTTGCGTCGCCACTCATTAACGTGCCTTATCTTCTTGCTACATACTTACGCGTGTGCTTGTCCTTCCTTTCTTCATTCATTTTTCGCTACTTTCGAGAAGAGCGCTGGTACCTAGTAGCTAGACTACACCGATTCAGCTTTGACAGCTACACATTTCGATCCGACCGAGCACCTTTACGTCAGTCCGGACTTCGTTCCTTTACCACTTCAAAAATGCGCTCCTTCATTATTATGGCCATCGTGGCACTTTTCGCTCTTGCTTCCGCCATGCCAATCTCACCATCGGCACCACGTCTTCAGAAACGAGCTGAGCAATTCCGGCTGCAAGGACTAAGGGAGGTACGTCAAAAAGCCATACGTCAGATGTTGCAAAGACTACGGTAACTAACCGTCGTAGTTTGAGATCGCCGAGAAGCTATCATCCTCTGCATCATCTGAAGTCGACCCATGGCGCGTTCGATTGAACAACAAATTCCACGCTCTCTTCGATCCCACATCAACAGACGATGAGGAAGACGTCTTTGTTGACGAGTCTGAAGACTTCTCTGGCGACGTAGCACCAGGATCCTTGGAATCACCGCAAACTCTTCCCAAGGCTTCAGAGGAAGACAGCTTCTTTGACAAGCTATGTGCCATGTTCCACCGAGCGGAAAGCAGCTTCGGATACGAAGGCAAGGAGCTTGAGATGCGTCGGCCTGAGGGCATCAGGGACTGGAAGCGATCATATGGAGGGTTCCGACGACGATAGAGTTCAATATAAATGTTGTTTCGTGTTCTACCTAATGCCATAACTGCAGCCAAATAAGTTCAAGGGGATGGTATATTCCTGAATGAATCATAGTGATGGTGAAGACTGCTGCCTACCCGCCCTAGGTATGTCTACGCCCGCTGAGTAAAGTAATTGCCCAATGACGATGCCGCCAACGCCTCGTACCCAAAATATATGTCGACGATCAGACACCCATGGTGAAATCGTGCTCTATACCTGGCGTTACACTATGAGGTTGTTAGCTGATGTACGCTACGTCGAGGTGAGTTATGCTTACCTAGCCATGAACTTCAAGAAGACAACAAGATACTGATCCACGCGGATGGCTACTTCGTCGTCACCGCCCTCACTAAGTACTTCCCAGTCATCCTTGGCCTCATCGCCATCCTTGTTCTTGGCTTGCTCAGTAAGCTTCAGCAACCGTGTGTCATCGACAAGTGCTTCCATGCCGCTGTCGAGTTTGCTGACATCTTTGCCGGCCTTGAGCTTGGCAAGTCGCAGCTTCAGGGCGGCATCGGCGCGGTCGAGCAGCACCTTCATCACGGATGCATGTTTGCAAGGATGTACTGAGGCGGTCTTGAGAGTGTTGTCGAAGAATGGGAAGTCCTCGATTGTGACCGTCTTATCCTTATAGTCTCCCACGATGTCCTCCATCATCTCCATGGGTTTGAGCGGGACGGATGTGGAGCCGTAGCCGGAGAGATATAGTCGCGGTGTTCGGTAGTGGGCGGAGTATGTGATGTAGAGGGTGTACGTTCGGAGGGGCCTAGTGGACGTCAGCCTATCCTCTGCTGGCTGGCAGAGCGAGGACGGATAAACTTACGCCTTTGTGTTTGAGTCGCCCTGTGGATCTCTTATGATGGCCTCTTCGTCGTCTTCAATGTCCTCCATGTCGGGTATCTCGTCCTCCTCCTCTGCCGCGCCTAGGTTGCCGCTCTCGTCAACCGTCCGAACATCGCGCACCTTGGCCTCCTGACTAGCCGCCATGCCCCCAGTTCTTAGCCAGCCGTCGTCGTCGTCGGTCGCACCTTCTCCAGCAGTGAAGCCATCCCGCACTATTGTCTCGTCCTGGCCGGCCTCACCCGCGAAGTTGTCATCGAGCCGTCGGTGGCAGGGCACGCCGCGCGTAACTAAGAACTGCTTTCCTTCAGGCAGGTACGATACGCGCTTCGCCGGCGATGTTGCATCTGCCCACTGCCATGAGGGAAACTTGAAGACCAGAAAATCCCCCGCAAGGACAAACTCCTCTGGTGTTATCTGACCCGTCTCGCGGAAGGTCGATGTGTGGCTGATAGCGGCGGTCCGCTCTCGGAACGTGTCGATGTAGGACCTGACAAAGTTGTAGGCCATGTTGGGCTTGGGTTTGATTCGCTTATCGAGTGCAAGTTCGTCTGTGTGAGTGTAGTGATGTTCAGTATCGTGTCTGCTCAAGGTGTTGGAGGGGCGCACGGCAGTGGGGTTGAAGGCTGCGGGACCGATGTCACTGCCTAGCGCCATGGGACCAGCCACACCTCCGCAGCCATCGTTCACCTGCCTCGCTTGTCACCCGACAACACCCAACATCGTCATCCTCTGTTTTCCCTTGCGATGACACTTCATCACGCTTCCCCCTCACATGATCGTAGCGCATTCAAAAATCGAATCTGTCACGGGCTCGCTTTCCACGTGGCACAACGACGTAGCGCTGGAGCTACATGATGCTTGAGTAACGGCGTATGGGCCTCAAAGCCTCACCAAGCATGACATTAATTGTCGCAGAAGTGGATATCATCATGTTGCTTTCCATCTCTTTCCATAGGCTCTCGGTGATAACTCCACGTCTTGCTATAGCCATACCTCCATAGCACAGAGGAGACTTACAGTCAACACGGTCGCCATAGTCATCTGAAGGATACCCGCGCTTGGGCTGCTAAGAGCTGTAGTACCGTCTGCAGATGCTCCTAAGACTGGCATGACATTCCGCGCCTAGCTTGGGTATGAGACGTGCCCAGCGCTTCTTCGAGACTTCGCTACATGACTACGCAGACGTCTGTCGCCCACGCCCCTGTATAAAGACCCAGATCCCGTAATACTACCGGCAGATGTAAAAACAGGCTCTTCCAGCGACGGGAATAGGGATCAAGGCAACAAGGCAACCATCGTGGCGACACAGCATGAGACGCCTTGTACGTTTTTCACGTTACCTCTTGGACGATAGTTCGCATGGGCAAGTGCGCTCGTATCACTTGCAATTGGCGAATCCTCTAATTTGCCGCCGGTTTCTATCAGGTCGCATTAGTGTCGATACCATGAGCATGCACGATCTCTGCACACTGTTGTACACCGTTGTCTTGCCTCGATGCAACGGCAAACGTCATTTCTACTTTGGGCAGTCCCCACTCGTAGGTGTACCATCGGGGCTGCCAGTTCACCGAGCTGATTTGGGGCGATTTCGCATTGCTCCACAGGTAGAAGCGAGCTGACTAAACAGGCAGCCACCTTCGCACGTCCAGATGTCTTCTTTTCTCGGCTTTCTCTTGAGCGAACGTATACACAAAGGGATACACAGCAAGGAATGGAGCACATGTTCATCGAATTGACACTAGCTTTGTTCGGCCCCCACAACATTCAATTTCTCTCTTCGCACCTCCACCGATTGCTCAACGCAAAATTCACCCTTGTTTACTACCAAAGGTTGCGATCAGCTTTGTCATCAGTTGTGGCTTTGGTGCAACTTCAATGTGTGTTTGGATCTCCTAGACAGGACGACTCGCTTGAAGCAAATTACTGCTGTTGGACTGGTGCGTGTGGTGACCCATGCACATGAATATGGGCTTAGGGAGGGTCATGAAATGTGCATATGTCGACAAGCTCAGCGCTGACATGTCTGTCAGGGTTCGGTCAAACATACGGCAACCGACAGCTAACTTTGGATAGTTCCACATGTTCGCACAAGCTCGGGTCGTGGAAAGTGCTCCATCACCAACATGATCATCAGGTCCGCGCGTTCAACAACCGCTATGGCCATCGAGAATCTTCAGCATGTGCAACAAGTATACCCGTATTGTCCGGTCGAGGACCTGATCGGCAGATTGTACGCACTGTTAGCGACCTCGTACTTTTGTACATCTGAAATCAAGTCAATACGCTACACTCTTAACTATCGACACTGATGTCAACCACTCGAATCTACAAGGGACGTTGTACTACATCATAAGCTGCGTTCATGCACCTCGTATCGTTTTCAGACCATTGCTGCGTGAAATGCTATTGAATGCCAGTGTTCATATCTTGGTACCATTGGGTCGCTCGAAGTAGGTATGCTCCATACATGCATAACCTCTCTAATGGGAGATACTCTCGAATACAGGCTGACTAATTATGGCCGCATTAGGTTCACAGATCTGCAATTCAAAAAGCAGTATCATTCGTGAAGGGGATACTTTGTGCTTCCAAGAGGCGTGTCAACAGTATGCTCATGTAGACTATGGTCTACAACATCTATACTAGCCACAACATGGTTGAAACTTGCAACATGAAGAAAATGGCGCACGCTTGGGACGAGTGATTCGGTGCGTCCATTGAGACTACCAATAATTTCGAAGTTTTGCCGTCCCAACTATCTTACTCTGCTGGACTATAAAGCTTCACTGATCTACAGCGACCTGAGTATATCAAAACAGATACCAACGCTATCGTCATTCAAGGCATTTCTGGTTCTGAAACAAGAAGCCTACTACATTCCGGCGTCGCGGACACCAACACACGATATCATATCTGTATACCACTCATCGCGACCGATCTCCGTCCCAATGGCCGACCCTAATTCAACAATCGACACCTCCCAGCCGAGATGTGGAGGTTAACGTATCAGAAGTTCCCCGCTCAGTGGTCATGTATGTGATCTGCGGGTCTTTGGCCTGATATTGCTAACATATTGTTGTGGGATACAGACCTCAGCAAGACGTTTCAACAGCCAATTCATTGCACACAATGGACTCCTGAACTCCAATTGTTCCGACGATTTATACTGCGCTCTATGAACCGACGCTGGCGCGTTGGCCAGGAGAAAAAGAATCACTGATCATGGTGGTCGCAGTACTCGGCCTTGGCTAAGTCATACGATATCCTTGTTTCTTCGTATTCGGGTTGCACGATATCATGAGTTGGCCTTTTTGCTTCCGTTATCCCCTTCCAAAGCGGAGTAAATTCGACACACGCAGTCGCTCCAAGATCTACAGCTTTTGTACTTTCCATCCGCTCAATGTTCATAAGCCGGGTAACAAATTATACGAGTCTCGTTACTTCATCTTTCTCATCTGAGGAATATGCAGCAGCGATGTCTTCTCCAATTCCAGCCAGAGACATGTCGTGCCGCCACGCTCGCACCATCCCGTGCAGCGCAACATTCGGCAGTAGCACGAACACAGGCTGATGGAGAAATTCTCACATTGCCATTGAGCACATGATCTCAGTCTCTCACTCGGTTGTTTTGACCGAGATGAACGATAGGCTCATGTTTTCTTTGTTCGGGAAATGAAAGAAGAAAAATTGCGCACTTCTCCAATCGTCTTCTCACACTCATAAGTACAGCAGCCGGTTGTTCGCTGGCAAGGTTACTATGTACCAGCAGTTCATATCATCACCGATACCGGCTAGGAACGAGAGTATCCTGAATTGCAGCTCACAGATGACACCCCTGGAACACTCTTTCACTTTCAAAGGAAATATCCAGGCTGCTCGAGTATCAGTCTTAATAACATATACAACAGGTCTGTAGTTTACTACTACGGATGTCTACGCACATCATACTTAACCTTCACTTCACGTTGTAGGGATGACGCTTATTGTCTCAGCATACACTAAGACGCTTATTGTCTCAGCATACACTAAGATCTTGTCCCACATGCCCAGCGTAACCACAACTACTAGTCCCTCCTTGCACCGCCTCTTCGTAACGAGAAGGCACAGGCGACAAGCAAGTGTGAGCAACAAGAAAGCTACGGGTGACGGAAACAAAAGTTCGGTCGCATCGGATTATCTCATTTCCTCAGATAGCTCAAGCTGTGCCAGCATCACTGCACATGCACAATGCTCCTATACGATCAAAATCATACAGTCTCTCCTGCATGGTCGAGCATGATGTCAAGCTGTTGTTTTCGGCATGTTCGCATCATCCGACCTAGCCTGGAAGACTAGTACCACAGTTTCAAGTCCGAGGTGATGAGCGGCCTGTCATCTTTGACAGACTAGGTATGTTGCTTGATCATCTTGACGATCATGGTGGGGCCGATCGTAAGACCAATTAGTTGAGCTGTCCTTGTAGTATTTTTTGTGAGCTACAAGTTGTGGGAGGTGTTGACTTTTGACATATATTCATGTTTGACCGTGTGATACCTGCTATCAGATGACATCGAAGTAACTGAGTGTATACAAACAGGAGATGGTGGTAAACCGAACAACAAGGCATGAGAACCTGGCCTAAGTTATATAACGATTGCGCGTACTTCAATCGATGCTGTGCAGATTAGCGAGGGCTATCACAGTACATCATACCTAGGTACACGCAGTGTGCGTACGTTTTGACCATATAACTAATGACGTTCTTGCTCGATACGAGTACATGTTCTAAAATCCACAGCGCCGGGTTGTCTGCTTTTTCGAATGAGATATGCCGGCAGATCGCTCGGTAACCAATTGCATTGGTGGCGTGCGTTGACGACAATCAACCTCGGTCGCGGAGCGCCGAGGCCGAACCACGCTACTGCCCACCTGCTTCCTAGCCATACTCTTGCTTCTGCATCAACGATTCAACTCCACAAATACGTTATACTAACATCTCGGCAAGTTACGTGCGAGAGTTTCAGCGGAGCGGAACACCGAATACTGAACACCGTCGTTCTTCTTGACGCCCACCCGATCCAGCCTATCTCTTCTTGCTCCACTCGTGCCTACACACTGACCCCTCGGATTAGAGCACCGAGGCTCGAAACGTTGTCCTAGGAACTCAAGGGCACGATCCTAGCCATGCAAGCGTAGGTCTTCGTAGCCCATTTCCGGTTGGTCAAAAGGTGTTTCGCCACGGACTAGTACACTGATGCCAATGCGTAGGTGCGATCAATGTCACGAGAGAAAGGTGCGATGCGACAAAACTGTCCCATGTCGACGATGCAGCCTAAGTGGATCGGAATGCCGTTACACAAACCGGACGAAAGCCCGCACCTATAGCCAGGTCCATGTAGACACTCTTGAGCGCAGGATCAAGCGCTTAGAAGCCCAGAACAGAAGTCTGGTGCAGCACAATAGGACTGACCCAGTATCTTGCACAGGCCAGAATACTCCCATCGTTGTTCAGGATAATCTTCCTACAAACGAGAGTAGCAGTACGCAACACCGTCTGTCAGCCGACGTCGCCGGAGAAGTATCATACCTGTCGATTAATGCGTCCGGAGAAAGGAACTACCTGGGATCCTCAAGCGGAGTTCTTTTAGCGAACTTCATCAGAGCCAATGTGAACATCGAAACTTCGACGCGGTCGATAACGCCAGTTGGTGATGACGAAGCTACAGACTCAACGGCTTTGGCTGCAGAGCTTGCTCGCGAGCTACCATCTGAACAGATAGCAAGACGACTTGTATTGTCCTATCTCAACCATGACCACTTACGCTACCCCGTAGTTCTCCCTGCCACCCTCTTGTCGATACTTTCGGAAACATACAGCACAAACGGGGCTCTCTACACGCGGACCACAAGCGAAGCTTTCATCTTCGATATAGTGCTTGCTATCGCCACGGCTAGTATCTGTCGGTCTGACTGGCAAGGGCTGCCAAGTGCGCATAGTCATTACACGCGGGCGATGAAGCGGGGATCGACGATCTTGGAGAAGGGGGGACTTGCTGCTCTCCAGGCAATCATCCTGTTGATTCAATATCGCATGAGCAGTTCCATGCAAGACACCTCAGCCAGTATGTTGCCATATCTCCGTCGAATAGAGGAGTCATTTCGCTGCAAGCATGATCTAAAGACTATACAGGCATGTGGCATTTGGTGGGAGTAGGGAGCAGAATTGCTCTCGAGCTCGGCCTTCACTGTGAAACTGCATATCCGTACAAACGCTCCGATGACTCTATAGGAAACATAGAACCGAGTGCCGACCATGTCCAGCAAGAAGTCTCCCGGCTTTGCTTCTGGAGCATCGTAGCAATGGACAGGTGCGTTTGAAACTCCAATGCAAAAATACGCAGGAAGGAATACTAGCTGATTACGCAGCAGAATAGTCAGCAACATATTAGGTAGGCCTCTCGCCATTCGCGACGACGACATAGACACAGTGCTTCCGTCTGATCTATGCGACAAGATCCTGCTTTCTGGTGTCGAGACACCTATGGCCGAACATCTGGTCGCATGCCGCCGCGTTTCGATCTTCGTTCAGATCATCAAGTATCGCCTACTGTGCGGTGACATTATCGAGACTCTGCACAATCAAGGTCGAAAGAATCTTCCAGACGATGAACTCCGCCACCGCAGAGATCAATTTGCAGCCGACCTCAAGACTTGGCGGTTGAACGTTGAAAGAGTCGTTCCTCCAAGCTCTGTGATTGACATGACGCCTTCGTCTTGCTTTACATCACCTACTTGGTTCGAGATGATATATCATAACGCTGTGCTAATGCTTCATCGGCCATCCCCTAAACTGGACACATCAAGAGACCCAGTTGCTGTACAAGCAATCTTTACCTCCTCTCAGGCTTCCATATCCTCATATGCAAGTCTCCATCGTATGGGGATCTTGAACCACAGCTGGCTTACACTACAAGCTTTATTCATGGCGGGATTGTCATATGTGTACGCTGTAACGATGCACTGCCAGGCCAATCGTAGACAACTAGGCGGGCTGCTGAACAAAAATCCGAGCACCATGGAAGTGATCAGTGACACACGTACGTGCTCAAATATCCTCGTAGCGGTTTCGGAGAGATGGAAGTCGTTGCAACGCTGCGTCGACATCTTTAATAGATTGAGCGATGCTATTCTGATCGACGTTATCAAATTCAGCACAACCCCCATCAACGCTACTCATTTGCCGACCAACGATTCGGGAAATCGTGACGAACAGTACAGGGAGAGGTCCGAGTTGGCGGCAGAAACAAACTCAAACGATTTGGTTCAGCACCCTCAATGGAACCACGCATCATATCTCCAGTCTATGGGGACTGATCGAGTGGTATCTAGCCTATCGCCATTGGCTATCGAGAATGAGTTCAGAGGTTCAGCGTTCGATCTGCAACAAATGTATGATCAGCAGCAAGTCGATATGTCTGTGTATCGATTCTCTCAGGCTTGGTTCGACAGCTTCGACTTCTATGGTGGTATTGGGCCGCAGCTCAATGACATCACGATGGGTACAAATCTTTGATGTTGGCCTATTTTCACTGTTGCGGAGGCTGTATTCAAGTTCATGTACTGCCCATTCTATATGCAACCCCGTTGGAGAAAGCTCGTTGGAACGTCTACAACCTTGCTGCGCAAGTATTCCCCGATACCTTTGCCAAGCCCGTCAATGCGCGAGCTACTGGCAATGCCACCATCCAAGAAGTCGAGTACTCGGCTATACCGGTTAGTCAGTGAAGCAACTTCTAGCATGCAAACCGGGGTACTTACAAGTGGACTGCGAGAATGTTTGGAAACTCGCACCTTTCGACTCTACACCCGTCCTTCCAGTCATCCTCGAACAAAGCACACAGCCGCTCCACCGTCAGAAAGCTCTGTAGCCAAGGGTACTCATCAGCATGCCTAACAAAGAAACCAACATTTGAATTGTTGCCTTTGTCGCCGGATCTTGCATGCACAACGGCCCCTAATGGGGCTTTTGATGTGAGGCCGAATGACCGAAGATCTATGGGTGTTTTGGTTTCGTATGACGGTCGCAGCTGTGGGTATTCGGCAGATCTGGGTGAAAACGGGGCGTATATCATCGGTTCGTCGTCCAGTCGCACTCTGTGGTTGATCTGACTGATTGGTATTGTTGTGGGGAATATTTCCATAAAAGGCTTGGGATCCATTGAGCGAAAGTCCAAGTTCATGTGATAGCCTACAAGTGATTAGGTTACTAATCTCGAGAGACGCGCGTCTTCTGCATTTTTGACTTACCAGGATAGCTTTGCATACGAAGGGAGTAAATGGGTATTCGAAATTTGCTCGCCGCAATATCTTCTTTCCTCTTTGCTTGCGCGAACACTCGCAACATGGCTGTACCCGCTGCCTGCGATCTCGGATCAAGCGCTTGCCCACCGTAAAGCTCCATGGACAGTTTGCTGAACTGATTACCCTGAAAGATGCTTGTCAGCTGTCGCTTCATCATCTCCGCCTTTTCCGAAATATCAAGGCCATTGAGATAATAAATAGTTTCAGCTTGATACCCTCCGGGAGCTGCAACCATGACCTTGGTGGTGAGTGGTGGCGGAAACCCCTTCACTCCGCTGACGAGAACTTCCCGCCATGGCTCGCCTGTGGCCGTAATATTTACGGTGCGTATATCGGCCACTACGTCGGGATTGAGATACATCTCACCCTGGAGCTCGTACAACAGCTGCGCGGTGACGTTTGCAGCAGTAACTTTGCCACCAAGATCTTCCTGTTTTGTTATGTAGCTGGATCCATTGGGCATGATCTCAGCAATGGGAAAGCCGACGTCGACCAATCCTGGAAGAAGGTCTTTGAAGCCAGAAAAGTTTGCGCCGCAAACGTAAGGTCCGCATTCGATCAGATCTACAATGGAGGTTAGTACCAGGAGAAAGCACAGAACATGGCCGCTATCGACTCACGCCCCGCAATAAGTGCCCCAGCTAGCTCATCGAAGGAGTCCTGTTTCCAGTTATACCACCACGCTGCTGCACCAATCTGTATCAGCCGAGTCAGCGATCTCCCACAAGAGACAAAATGATCATAGCCAAACATACCACTGGAGACGCATCCGTAACTCGCCCACACAAGACAATATCAGCCCCCTTCTTCAATGCCTCCACGATCCCCCAAGCCCCGATGTACGCCACCGCACTCGCTGGATCCTCGAATCCCTTTGCCCATTCCACAAAGCGCTGGTCACTATGATCCAAATGCCGAAACCTACTTCCCTCCTCGCCTGGTGTTCTCCGCAACATCTCTGTGACCTCCGCTGTGACATCGTCGCCCAGTACCGCTGCGATTTTCAAATGTCTATACCCCTTTTGCACACAAAGCTCTCGCACTTTGTCCCGGAGCGCCTCCGTGTTCAATGCGCCCGCATTTGTAACAACCTTGATCTTCTTGTCGACGATGATATCGATGCTTTCTTCGAGCTGGGGCAGGAAACCAACTTCGTAGCCTTGAGATGGATCACTGGCTTTGGCTATAGCATTCCAAGCGATGTTCATCTCGGATAGCCAGTCTCCGGTGATGAAGTCGACATCGCCTGTTTGTGCCATGCGGAGCATGGCGTGGGGAGCATCACCGGTCGCGCCAGAAACGTTGCCTATGCGAATGCCGCGTTGCGGCGCTGGTCTTGTGCGCATGGTAAATATAGTATGAGAAGTATAGGCTGGAAGTACTATTGTCGTGTCGTTCGTGAATCTTGCTGTTGAACGTTGCTTCAGACGGAATACAATCTTGCCAATGTTTTGGCTAGAGACCTTTTTGCATGAAGGCGATCTTGAGTTAATCTAGCTAATAAACGTCTTGATGTACCTGCCCAGCCGATTACGCCCTTATGCCTATTGCAGCGACTAAACGACAGCTTCGAGAATGCCGATAACCGGCTGCAATCAGTTAGCTGGTATGATTCGCACCCCAACAACTACGCTTCGGACGGGTTGCCATCTCTCGGAGGACGTGCTAGCTGCGGAACAGTTACATGGATGTTTTTCGGCGTAGGTATGCCGAGTGTCATTATTACCTTACACGCAGTCTTGCTCGGGGCGGCGTCGCCGAGGCGTAGTGGCCCACCATTGCGAGTCAGTGCGGGGGAGCAAGCCTACCCGTATTAGGATCTTAGCTCCTCAAGCTTCTCTTTAGTGTCTGATATCCTGTGTGAGGACACCATTATCCGGGGAAACCCCATGGGGAGAGAGACTAGTATTATGATGCGCAGGGTAAATGGTCCAAGTCCGATATAAACCATTGCGCCGTCGACAGGGCTATTCATCCTGACCTTCTGTTCTCCTCTCCTCATTGCGAAACCTCCCGTGAACAGCATTATGTCGGTACCGCAACCCGAGCCAGTGCAGGGTGTGGGATCTCCCTTGCCAGCTCATACCGTGGACCCTATCGATGAGAAGTACCAGAGCCAGCATACTGAGTATGAGGAGAAGGTTCAACCCAAAGTTGACTACTCTGGAGCCGCAGCTAAGACGAGCCCTGAAGAGAAGAAGCTTGTCAGAAAATTAGACATCTGGATCATGGTGAGTTAGCCATCTGCATGCCTTTCAAAAATCGACTAACAATCTACTTCAGCCCATGCTCTGGCTCATGTACTGGCTCAACTACCTGGGTAAGAATTTGATACCATGAAGCTGTCATCAGGAGACCTCAGGCTGAATGGATACCTAGATCGCAACGCCATCACTCTCGCTCGTCTGAATGGCTTCCAAAAGGACCTTGGACTCACTAGTTCACAATACAGCACTGCTATCTCTATCCTTTTTGTTGGATACATCCTCGGACAGGTAAGTTGTGACTATACGAGAACCATGTGAATGATCCACTAACTTCGTACCTCTACATCCACAGATCCCCAGTAATATGATCATCACTCGGGTCAAACCTTCGTGGTACATGGGTATCTGCATGATGGGCTGGGCAGTCGTAAGCGGGCTCACTGCCGTCGTGCATAATTACACGGGCATTGTACTTGTGCGTTTCTTCTTGGGTGTAGTCGAGGCGCCGTACTACCCAGGAGCGCTCTACCTCCTGAGCATCTTTTACACGAGGAAGGAGATTGCGACACGTATCAGCATCCTCTATTCTGGCAACATACTCGCGTCGTCCTTTGCCGGACTCATTGCCCTTGGCGTCTTCAAACTCGATAATGTCCATGGTATCAGTATGACCCCTTACACCTGTTGGCTACGGACTAGGTCTCTATATTAATTATCTATTAACGTACATTTATATGACGGGAAACATGGTGTGTTAAATATAGATACCTAGTATACATTTCATGTCATCTTTTTGTCTCGCTCCACGCTAATCGAAGGCTTCGATTACCCCTCCTCCTCCTCCGCTCTATCATTGCCAGTTTCTCCTTTTAGCATGGCTTTGAAAGCCACTCCAGACACGCCATGTTGAAGAGATAAATGCCGTTTGAAAAGCTGTTTATCATAAGTTTTGGTTTCACTGGGTGTGCCCCGACAGTGAGGACAAGAAAATTTCGGTTTGTGCACCGAGGTTTTGTGGTAGCTGAGCTTGTATTGTGTGTCGTATAGCACTGTCTGATCGCACTCATTCACATGAGGACATGGCTTTGGGATAAACCTGTGTATCGTGCGGACGTGCTCTTTCATAATTTTCTCGGTGGCATACATCTTGCCGCAGTTCTCGGAGCATGGTATGTCGGCTACCGTGCGGGAGTATGGTTTACCCGTACACCCTCCGGCGTGTAACACCATGAACACTCGTTTTGTGGTGCTGTACCCACATTGCTTGCTGCAATAATACTGGTATGTGACAGGGGAATCTTTACTCCCACCAGTACTGGATACCACGTCATCCAGTTGGATGTTCACCCTGGAGTAATAATCAATGAATTCGAAACATGAAGAAGTGAGTGGTTGTGGGGTGGAAATATTCGAGGCACTTGGTTTGAAGGGGTCTTCCACATGACCATGGGCACCTGTGTGGTCGGTTGCTGCGTTGACAGGCTCTAGGTCGAACATATCTTGGTCGAACATGTCAATGTCGAGCGACGTACCGGAGTTGATGCTTTCGACAAAGCTTTGCAACAAATGATTAATCTTCTCTTCGCTCCCATCTTTACCGCCTGAGGCGTCTGACTCTGCTGCTCGTTTGCGCTTCCCACTGGGTACCGGTGCTGCACTGGTTATGCGTTCGTCATTTTTTACCCAAGGGAGAACCCTTCTCTTTCTTGACTCTAGTGTTGGCGCAGTCAGTCGGGGATCAATAGGTATCTCATCTTGGTCATCTTTGTTAGGATCGACGACATCGATTTGGAAAGGATCATTCTCCTTTTGCCATTCTTCGCGGTGCGCTTTCTTCATATGGCGGCGAGCTTTCTTTCTCTGAATCTTATCTTTGGTGTACTGATTCTTGCTTTGGAGATATAGGTCAACCTCCGTGGTACTGAACTCGGGCTCTTTGTAGATTCGAGGTGCTTGACTATGGGCGGCTGTCATGTTTGATCGACTCCAATCCGTCTGCAGTCGTTCCTCCAGAAGGCTAGATCGTGCACCGCCTATGTAATTTGACGTTGTTCCTCGGAAGGCGGCGTTGTGCGTATGACCCATAATGTTTCGTGCACGCTGCTCGCTTCCTGTATCTTCAGTAGATGGCAAATTGTGCATCTCGAAGGCTGTACCCCTACGCATATCATGCGTTCCTGGTACGGCGAGTACACCTACTAATGCTGCGGCTTGTTGAAGCACGCGCCGAAGTTGTGACTCTGGGGCAGCCACATCGAGTTTAAGAGCATGACCGGCATTGGCCGCCTTCAGTACTGGTAGACTGCCATCCTTCCACATTATGGTCTTGTTTCTACGTTGACGAGTGGAGTTGAGCAGAGCTTCGATGGATGTTTCATCAACGTTGCCTGTGCGTAAAGCCATGACAATCAACAGCTTGATGGCATCGCAACTATTGAATTCGTTGGAAAGAAGCTTCAGTTTAACCGTGTGTTGAACGTTGGCACTGTCTCTGTGGATGGTAAGCAAGAGACCTATCAGTGGCATTGAGAGACTTACTTGTGGCCTTTTGTATATCGTAAAGCAGCCACGCATTCGAAGACCTCGTTTCCCGCCTCATCTTCCACAAGCGTTACTGTGAAGTCGCTGTACTTTGCGAATTGGTGGCCTTTCCAACCATTAGTCTTTGCGACGTCGCCCGATCTACCCCCTGTAGCGAGCATCAGACTCAAACCGAGAGCGCCTTGTAGGACATAGTCCCAAGTCCTACATCCATGGTCGGCGGCGTTCTGAATGTATGCGGTTGTGATGAGGAACACAAGTCGACTGGACATCCAGCGGGATTCTCTCCAGCGGTCTTTTGTGATGACGTTCTTGTTCAAGAGATCGGTGAATACTGCTTTGATCTGGGCTGCCTCCCCGCTCTTGATTCTAAAATCAGGATGAGTGAACTGGATTGACTTGATCACCCAGGCAATACCGTCCGTCAGTGTAGTCCATGAGACCATACCCGATGGCGATCGCGCCGAGATGTAGTCTGGGAAGGCGTAAATGAATCTGATAATGTGCTCAGCTTTAGGCATCGTGCCGGGCCTGGAGCCTTGTTAGAAAATCGAGGATATCGAATCTTGACGTGCAAGAGATCTTACCCAACGTGGAGTGTTGTACTCAAGAAGCCGCGGAATCGATTACCCCATATTGCCTGTGCCATCTGTGTTTTTGGGGAACCGTAGTATTTGGGACGCTGTTTGTAGGCGATCTTGGTAGACTTCCGGTCCTCCGTTGCATACTGGAGCGCTCTAGCCAGACTGCTGGCTCCTAGTCCTGCGAACGCATCTATGAGAATGATGCATTAGCCTCCAAGTACCTAGCCAGCCATGAGAGCAAGAATCGAGCGCCTTGAATTAGGGATGCACTCACCAGGGACTTCCTCTACCTCAATGTCCGAAGACCTGAACTCGTCGGCTGGATCAGCCATATTTGGTGGCCTCCGCTGCCGCGACGCGTCGATAAAAGCTTGGTCAGAGCGAAGAAAAGAGAGATGCGAGGAAGAGAGGCGGCTTGTTGGCGAGTGCGGGGTGAGGTGAGTGTTTGCGTTGACGTGGGAAAGAGCGGATGGTACGGCAAACGTGACACACCGCCGCTTCCCAGAGCGCGATTGGGCACAAAGACAACAATAATGCGGAAACTCGAACTCTAGTTAAACTCTTTATATTCATTCAAATCATCATTTCTGTCCGCTCCGCTCAGTTGTGTCTGTAAGTGACATGGTTCACACATAGAGACAAGATCGCTGGAGGGCTATCGAACGAACTGAATCGAGGACGCTGTTTGTCTACTCTACCAACGTTTCCTCATCTTAGCTCGTCAAGTATGGCGCTTGATAGAGCATCTCTGGAATTTGGGGCGGCACATTGTGTGGACGGACAAGAGGTCGCATGAGAACCGTATTGACAGTCTTTTTCTTTGACTGTATCTGGATGATCACATCATCGATGGAGAGATCGCGCCCCTGTAGCCTGATGATGATGACCTTGTGTTGTTGTCCTTGGCGGAGTAGACGAGAGTAGAGCTGGAGTTCCGCGTTCCTGTTCCACCACACTTCAGTCTGGATGAGTATCGATGCTTCGGGGATATTGATACCCTCGCCACCAGCTTTTCCTGAAAGATACAGAGGCTGCGAGCAGCTTGTGCTGCTGTCCCTGAATGTCTCCAGGTTCTTCTGTCTTACTGCATCTGCTATGACGCCGTTGTATTCGAAGCCGTCGATTCCATGCACTTGGCGGAGGCCAGACTTGATCATGTCCAAAAACCTTAGGTATTGGGACGAGATGACGATCTTTCGGTCCGGGTGGTCTCTGCGTAACTGTTCATATAGGTCTAGCACGCGTGTTAAGCGTGCGGATTTGAACACGACTTCAGGATCAGATGCGATGTGGTTGAGCCAGCGCTTTCTCGAGTCTCGCTCCAACTCCGAGTTGTCGCCGGTGAGTGTCGCGTGGAGAGCGTCCATGTCGCTCTGACTCAATATAGGCATGGTCGTTGCTTTGCCCTGGTCTTGGTCTTCGTCATCACTTTGGTTCGATGACGATGAATCTGAGTCGTCACTGCTGCTGGGGACATACCCGTCTTCACTTTCTTCGTCGCTTTCCAGTTCACAATCTTCAAGGACGAAGCCCGAGGCATTCTTCCTAGTTTGGAATCGTGTATCCAGGAGCAGAGCATGGATGGAAGCTTGTTGCGATCTGATCGCGTGTATCAGCACCTTCAAGGAATCTTCCTTCTTCCCCGAATCATGTCCCTCGATTCCTTTAACCTTGCCGCTCTTTTTGCCCTTCTTTCTCATTTTCTCTTTCAACTTCTTGACATGCCTGTCTTTTTCATACTGCTGGGCTTGCATGTATTTCAAAAAGTGATCTTCGCTCGAAGCTTCGTCGTCTGAGTTTAGCTTAAACGTAGATTTGTAGTGATTGATTCCAGGGAGCTTGAGGACGTCGGCTGGCCTTGCAACAGTAAATCTCATAAGATATCGCTGCAACAACTTGATTCTCGGGAGCACCGGCTCAGGTTCTAGCTTGTTGTCATAGTCCCAACTTCCAAACACTCTGTTGAAAGATGAAATATCGGTGAGAGGTTGGTTCTTCGCAAAGGACACTGGGCCACCCCACCCATTCCACCTATTATGTGGAAATGTCCCCGAGAGCATTATTGTGGCTTTGGCTGGTATAGCTCTGACCGACATATATCGCTTCGATTTCGTGTTATTGATACGATGAGCCTCATCCAGAATCAAGCGTTTTATCGGGTAACCCTGGAGATCCCAGAAGTCTGTATGGAAGAGCGACGTCGAGCGACGTGCTGGATCCTCGGCATGAGCGGCTTGCATTCGGCGATGTGTCGCTTCTACAAACTCGTATGATACTATTATTACGTCCGGACGTCTGGCGTAGAGCTCATGAGCCGACATGTTGCGGTTCACCACTCGGATCACTCGTAGTGCCTCTTGCTGCCTCACATAAGCTGATAATCGACATGCTCGATTTCGATGATCCTTACTTGTTCGAATGCCCCCACGCACTCTTCTTGCCATTGCTGACCAACTGTCTTGGGCGCGATGACAATACAGAAGCCTGGCTTTGGTTGTGCCAACTTGATCATCATTACTGCCATCAGTGTCTTCCCCAATCCCATTTCGTCGCCACAGAAGAAGATCTTAAAGTCAGGTTGCTCGCAAAGCCAATGGCCTTGAGCGGCTCCTTTCTTTTGCCATGGATGCGGTGTTGGGCGGAGGCCGGGTATCTCGACCGGCTCGATGGCGTCTAGGGCTTCCTGTCATATCTGTCAACCGAGAGAACAGTCCATGGTCTGTCGAACAACTTACGATCGCCTCAACCCATTCTTGTCCGAGGTAGACGCTGATGTGGACTCTGTCGTTATCTCCCAATTCTAACCAGTTCTGGTCGACTACTTCATCCAGACCATCCGGATCCTCGTCCGACAGGCTCTCTTGCTCCTCGTCACTAGTTTCGTGGTCCTTGTTTTCGGGTACATACTCATTCGGTCTGCCTTTCATAAAGAGCCCCGGCTTTATGTACTCTAGAAAGTGAGCTGGTGGGCTGAGCGGGTCAGCGGCTTCAAACGACAGTGCGTTTAGTCTCGCAATCGCTGCCGTAGTCGCATCGTCCAGCTCAACGTCCTTTGCGCGTTTCTTACGGTTCATGGCGGCGATGATTCCGTATATCTGAAGGAGCTGCAGGTGGTATCGTGTTGTTGGTTGTAAGAGTGAGCATGTATGTGTCGAAGTTCTGGAATGGTAGTGGGGGATCGCGACGCGTCTTGCCCCACTTTTACCTTTACCTTTACCTACCCTATCCACCATCCGCTCCGCGTCTTTGCGCCTCAAACGACTCTTCTTCTACCTTATCAACGATCATCGTAACTGCTCAGTTTAAGGACATCCTCATGCCGAGATCCAAGAACAAACCAAGTACCTTCGCATCAAGTACAGGCTACCACCTCGGCAGTGGCGCGGTAGTGAACGCCATCGTAGACATGCCAACAGTAAGAGATGTGCTCCACTGCAGGAAATCGAGGTCCTCGCTTACAGACCTAGTCCAATCCTAGAAAGTCCTACAAACCGGTCACGAACGTCGATGATCCTGACTCCGACGAAGAAGACGACGGCGCAGATAAGGCAGATGTCGACGACACCGAGATCACAGACCTGCTAGACATGGGAGATAGAGTCATAGAGCAGGAAGAGGACGATGAGGAGGAAGATGAGGAGGACGACAAGGAGGACGACAAGGAGGACAACAAGGAGGACAATGAGGAGGAAGATGAGCAGGACGACGCCGGCGTCCCTGGCACAGTGCGAACTGTCAAGGACGAAGAGAAACGTGCGAGTCGACGACAAGCGAAAGAAGTCGGGCCATATGACACGCCAAAACCAGGCGATAGTGAGCGTCGCAATCCAGACGGCACCATAGAAATCGTGAAGGGGGGTGGCATCAAAGATGAGGGCCAAATACTTGTGGGCGCTAAGAAGGACCCCAACTTCAACAACATCCTTGCGAAAACCAAGACAAGCCAGATCGCGATCATCAAGCGCGCCGTATGTGTTTGTACTAGAAATCAAGGACCTTGATTCTCTGCTAACAATAACACAGGAACAAAGCACTCGCGGAAAGCCAAAAGTGCATAACTTCAGTGACAAAGGGAACAAGACGTACAAGTCGTCGGAGTTGGCCAATGACCATGCTGTGGAGTGCCTGATAGGGCCCTACACTACCAAGGCGTGCACGACGCTGGTGACTGAGAAGTCCACCGACCTCGATAATGACGATGTCGAACAGACTTTGCGCGATGATTACCATCCGGATTGTATGTGTCCTGTTTGTATCGCCCGCAGAAAAAATGACAATATGGCAAAGGCCAGGGCAGAGATCAAGAGGAGGGAGGACCTGAAGAGAAAGAACACTGCCGACGAGGCCAAAGCGAAAAGGGACAGGAACACAGAGAGGTCTTTGCGCAAAACACCCAAGAAGTTGAGGTCAGGCAAGATAGCTGACGAGGGCTGCATGCTCAAGGATGACTGGATCGATGGCTAGAAAAAGTGCTTACTTTGGTAGCCCTCTTATTGAGTTTTAGCCCCCTTCATCACATACTCTACCCTTAGGAAACGTAGTCTCATACCACTTTCCAGCTAAAGTTCGATCTGCCTACCAAAATCAAGCGGGTCGATTCATGCCTGCGGCGCTCGAACAGAGTCAGGCAGTAGCTGGAGAGGCAGATAACGGGCTTGAGGTTTAGCTTTCTGCATCGAGTGGGTATTCTTCCATCGGATAGTTTTCCTTAGTCAATACAATGTTTCGTTCGTCGTCTGAGTCGTCTGCATCATATTCTCCCGGCTCCGCCTCTTCCCCAATCTCTTCGAACTCTGGCTCAACTGTATCGTAGGTGATGTGGTCAGGGTCGCATAAGGCTGCACGTTGCTCCGACAACCTTTGCTCGTAAGACTTTTCGCCTAAGTTGATAATGCGTTAGCAGAAATCAAAGTCTGCAGACCCGAAGGCCATCTTACACTGTTTCACGTGTTCATCAGGCAACCATAGCGTGCCATCGTCCATGGGAATTGACCTCTTCATGCGCTCTTGTAATATTGTCGCCAGTCTATCTAGTCGCTCCGCCATGTCTGCAGGATGTTCGTCGATGACGGTTTGCATCCGGCGGACAAGCTCCTTGGTCTCATCGTCGAGGTGGATCCTGGAACCAACGAGGGCTACTGGGTACATGGTCGCCCGTGTCGAGAGCTCATGCACGACTTCAACCAAGTGTGCGATGACCTGATTGACGAATGGAACACCTTTCTCAGCGTAGTGTGTCTTGGTCGTGTGGACGGCGGACTTCAATCTGTTGAGTAGATCGGAATCGACCAGGTCGATTGCGGTAATGCCGGCTGACATCGCTGTTGACTGCTTGTTCTTCGTACTGGATTTGGGGCCGTGTCTGTTGCAGTGCCTGTCTGACATTCCTGCGCTCCTCATAGACGGATATCAGAGCACAGACCACCCACCCGCTATTGTCTACGCTGCCTTTACCTTTGTACACCAACAAGCTTGCAACTCGACTTTCTCCCCGCTACCGTCACCACTACCTCTACCTTTCCACCTCAACAAGCCTCAACTTGAACTTCATCCATCCATCCGCCTGGCATGCCAACGACGCGCGCGACGGCGATGGAGCCAAACACAACTTCCACCACCACGGCCCGGCCATCCCGGGCCACCCGAGGTAAAGGCAAACCGACTGAGATTGAGCAGATGGAAGACGTCGCTTTTACGGTCCGCGGCCTCGCACTTCAATTTGTATGGCCGGAACGGGAACGCAACAAGACCATCATTGCGCATGGCAACATATCTTCGACATCTTACAAGTCCATCTCAGGCAGTGTTAGACCCCGTGACAACTTTACCTTCTCTGAAGAAGAGCTCGCAGACCAAGTCGACGACGCACAAATCAAGGTGCTCGTTGTAGGACTTACGGTACCCGATGCAAAGTTCGATGATAAGAATCCCAACGACAAGAAGCACGGAGGCATCGTAGGCCATGCCCTACCGGTCGACCCCAAGCGCACGCTCAAACTAGCCAGCAGGCACACAGGACACAAGACGGTAGATGAATTCGAGGTCCTCGATGAGGTCGATCAGGTCGATAAGTCGGACATGGTGGATGATGCAGAGATCGACGGAGTCAACGCATTCCTCGTCGCAACCCCATGCACGGACAAGGCGCCCACCCAAACCAAAATGTACGTCCTCGGCCGACAAGAAAATGGGCTCTGCAGATTGTTCAACTGCCCGGGTGAAGAGGTGTTTTACTTTGCAGAGTTTAGAGACTCTCTAAAAAAGGCAGGAGACCGGCAAACCAGATGGAATCGGTTGGTGCGCGCGGTCGCGACGCGACAGGAAAAGACGGAACAATCGAAGCTGGCAATCTACGGCACTCCGCGCGATACGACGGCTGTCATGGTAGATCCTGTGGTGGCTTTCGTGAACGAAGTAGCCATGCTGACCAGCGCATTCTCAATGACAAAGGACCCGTGGATAATGACGAAGCTGAGCAGCGTCATAGACGAAGTGGTGCCGCAGATTGCCAACGCTGTGAGGGATCACCCGAACCTGAAGGCCTTTGTGACCACGGCCCCAAAGGGCAAAATCGACGACTTCGACTCGGACATGAGCGCACAAGAGGAAGAAGATGAAGATGACGATGATGATGCAGGCGCTGGAATTAGATGGGACGCCGAGGCCATGCTAGCCGAGGTTGCCCAACGATGGCCTGAGACTGCAAAGTCGCTGACTACACAATTACTAAGCCGCCTGCGCAAAGGTATCATCCAGGAGAAACCACACTTGGCTCCTGACGAAATAGAGCCGCTGCTCCGCGTCGCACCCACACTGGACAGCATGACAAACCTCTCAGACAAAGAGTTGGTGCATGCCGTGGTTGATTTGGTCAGACAGGCAAGATCAAATGTGCCTAGACAAGGCGGCTTTTCGAAGTCGTCGATTTCCAATGAAGCGGTGCGGGAGTTGATGATAGCAACTATTAATGCCTTGGTCAAGATCAGTGAGGCAAACATTGCGCAACAGCAATCACTGCAAGACAGGCTTGGAAACGATTCTGTACCCGTGTCACCCGCACACTTGTGGGATATGTTTGGCAACACGCCCGACACTGACGCTGCACGAAGGCTTTTTGATTCCTTTAACAAGTTCCTGGCGCACTGGCATGTTGGCACCGCCGACATTATCAATCCCATGCTCACAGAAGTGATACAGATACTCAAAGTTGCAATGGGTATCAAGGAGTCAGATCATCCACGGTCAAAGAAGACGACAAACAACGAGGCCAAGAAGAAGAAGAAGAGCGATGCTGAGATCAAGAAGAAGAGCGATGCTGAGATCAAGAAGAAGAGCAATGCTGAGATCAAGAAGAAGAGCGATGCCGAGGCCACTGAGGAAGCGGACAAAAACCTTATGGAGCTTTACAAAGAGTACCAAGCAGCCGGTGAGGCCATGGAGGAACCCGACCAAGGCATTATGGATATATACGACGCGTTCGAAGCAGAATGCCCAGTCGTTAATCGTGATGTAGACATGCTGGACATTGACGACCAAGACGACACTTTGAGCTGTACACCCAAGCAGACTCAGATCGTGCGGGATGATCTGAAACGAGGAGCTCGATTCGAAAACAGTGACCTCTCTTCTGAAGAGGGCACTGGCAAGGACAACATGACGGCAGCCGTACGTGAAGGCAAGAAGGCTGCTAAAGAGATAGCTGCTAAAGACAAGACTACCAAAAAAAGGCGCTGCAAAAGGCGCTGCAAACGATGTGATGATGACAAGGTCGACTATTGTTCTTTCGAAGATGGGACTGGCCATGCGCTGTGCGATTATTGCATCGAGAACGAGTTAATTTGCGAAGTGCCTCCGCCTGCGGAAGAGAAAGGAGGACCTCGACTCAGCCAATACGATGACCTCCCTCCCCCAGAGGGCACTGGCGGGGACGATGTGCTAACTCCCGAAGACAAGGCTGCAAAGGCTGCGAAGAAAAAGGCTGCGAAGGCTGCAAAGAAAAAAGCTGCGAAGGACGACGCAGACAAGGACGACGCCGACAAGGACAACGACGGCAATGACGACGCCGACAGGGACAAGACTAAGAAGAAGAAGAAGAAGAAGATGATGAAGCCCAAGAATGCTGAGAAGAAGAAGGCAAGAGACGCTGAGAAGGGCGCGGACAAGGCTGCGGACAAGAACGCAGAAAAGGACGTGGACAAGGACGCGGAGCAGATTAAGCCTAAGAAAAGGAAGGCTAAGAGGACTAAGGCGACTGAAGATGCAGAAGAGGAGCCGGCTGTAAGCGTCGGACAGGGTGACAAAGGTGGAAGGGGCGGAGGTGGAAGGGGTGGTGGAGGTGCATCGGGTGGCCGAGGTGGCCGAGCTACCAAAAAAGGACAGAATTAGCGAGGCGACGATCATGTAAGATGCAAAGTAGTCATGATAAAAGTTGACGTGGTATCTCTTGCCATGTACTCGAAATCGACCTGGTTGATTTGGGTTGCAGCTGCCTTGCTCTTGCTGTCCAAGGTTGTGTTGTTTACCATTGTCCAAAGAGGGCAAGGGTCGGTTGTGTCTAGTCTTGACCTTTATGGATGTTTGTAACACAGGGCGGCTGTCTAGTCTTGACCTTGATGGATGTTTGTAACGCAGGGCGGACAAGCCGCCCTGCGTTACAAACATCCATTTCGGTAAGACGATGGCGTTGGCTCTTTATAATACAAGGTGCCGCCACCTTTGTCATTGCCGTAGCAGCCTGCTTTATCCTCCCCGACGAGCCTCTAACCACATGGTGGCTTAACCCCGAAGAACGCCAACTTGCGCACGCTCGGGTCGCAAGAGATACTGTTGGCCACTCTGCCGATGTCTCCATGCTTGCCGGTCTCAAGGAAGCTATCCGCGACCCCAAAGTGTGGGTATTCGTCTACATGCAACACCTACACATGTAAGTTCCAATGACCCCGATAATCTACCGTCTCTGACATTTTTTGAGCGCTACCAACGGCTTCAAAAACTTCATGCCGACGATTGTCAATACGCTAGGCTTCTCGCAGGAAGTCACACTTGTATTGACATGCCCACCATATCTGATAGCAGGTGCATTCTCCGTCGCATGGGCGATATCATCCGGTCATTACAACGAGCGCACTTGGCACATTACTATCGCTAAAGGCGTGGCTATCTTTGGGTTCGTGCTCGGCTGTGCGACTATGAACGTGGGCGCAAGATATTTTGCCATGTGCGTCTTCACAATCGGTACATATGGCGTCAACAGTATAATTCTTGGGTGGGTATCTTCAACATGTGGGCAGACAAGGGAGAAGAAGTCTGCTGCTCTGGCTATTGCCAACGTCGCGGCTACCCTCAGCTTGATCTGGACTCCTGTAAGTTTTGCAAATCGGTCGCTTGTTCTGGATGAAGTGACTGACATGGAATAGTATATCTGGCCAGAGTCTTCGGAGCCGCGATTCGTATTTCCATTGTCCATGAGTGCCGGTATGGCGCTGATGTGTGCGGCTGGCGCGTGGCTCATGCGGTGGTGGCTGATCCGGGAGAATCGAAGGATCAAGAGTTCGAACTCCGAGACTACGATGTTCTACGCTTACTGATAGGGGAGACGGAGATGTAAGCCTACATACATATTCTGCATATTTGCTCCCATCGCTACGTATATGGCAGGTAGTCTATGTCTGGGAGGGGTTCCCGTAGATCTGTTGAAAACCTGAGCTGTGCAGCATTTAATTTCATTAAATTGACAGCATAATGCTGGAACCTGTTCGAAACGATAAAAATGATCATGGAATACTGGGAATAACTTCTCATAATCTATTAGCCGATTATCGTGTTATCATTCTGAAATCACGGACTGCGCATTTCTCGCTTTACGTCTCACAAAACAGATATCTCTCCATGACAAGCGAATCCTGTCCATGTCGATATGACGCCTAAACTCTTTACATAACAATCACAGTATCGTATTGGCTCATTTACGTGACAGCCAATCGTGCTCGTTCATCTGTCTTACCCTGCTTGTCTTATCGATGTTTCTAATATTCTAATCTTATGTTCCTATATTTTTAGTCTTCCTGTGCAGTTTTTCAATCGTATTGATTATGCCACTCTGCGCCTTAAGCAAGTCTGATCTTTGCTTTCCTAAACTCCATCACACTATCAGGGTCCTCCAAATAGCGACTTGGCGAAGTAACGATCGAAGGTCCGCAACCACAACGACACTGAGGTATAATCCTTCGAGCCTCAACCAGCTCTCGCACTCTCAATACATCACCTCCGTCGCTGTATGAGGGCATACCTAGTTGACTCCACGATACAATTCCCAACCGTGTATGTGTATGGCCCGGACCAGCTTGCATGATTATTGCATGTACGTCCTTGAGACAGTCTATCTGAACGGTGGAATTATCCTCCCTCCCAGATTCGCTGCCTAGAAGAAGAACCGGGAATAAACTTTCCAATGCCTGCTTCCGAAGAGAAGTCGCTGTATTGATATTGGCAACAATAGCTACTCTGTGGGTTGGTATGGGCGAAAGGACTTGGAAGCTTGAAGTGGCTCTACCAATGGAGTCATCCTGTACCAAACGTACATTAGTGATCCATCCATCAAGGTAGATGCATGGCTCAAAAATGGCAGTACTGTTACTAGACCCTAGTGCTCTCATAAACCTCTCATCCTTAACAGATTGCCCTTGGTACGTCTTGAAGCTTGCAGACGGTGAGTAGAGGGTTTCCGTGATGGCTTTTCGAGAGAACGAAGGAAGACACTTCCAGGCCGCCCAGGTCCACGAAGGGAACATAGATCTTCTTGTTAGAAGATACATGCTGGCTTCATCGCAAGAGGATATTGACTATGCTAACGAGGATAGAAATGAGCTGTAGAGTTCTTCAGATTCGCTTCGTCCTACAGAACTGTGATGGGTACGCGTTGTCGAGCGTTCGTCGCTGATTGGTAATCCCCAAAAATTGTAAACTGGATCCTCCAGCTCCTGGAATGCCTGGAATATTCCAAGAAATGCGTTCAATGCGTCCGAGTCGTTGGTCAAGTCTCTTCCAAGGTATTCTTGGATCCGTTGCTGCACCTCGTTGCCTGTCTTTCCAATGCCCTTACGAGGAAACACACGAAGGTTATGTATAGTGTCCCTGAATCTCTTGAAGTCCTTTGTATGAGCTTTCTCAAGGTCCAGTGGGGTAGATTCACAGCAGTGCATATTCCAACATTGAAAATAGGTTTGGGTTTCTGTGAAGACCAAACGTCGTTTCGATAAGAGATTCCCTGGTATGTCCATCCACGAGAAGACCATTTGCTGCTGTGAATCTCCCGTTCAATATCTGGAACACAATACAAGTAATAGCCGTGCGTTTGTACAAACACTTGCGGCTTCCGATCTCGAGTCGATACACCTGGAAGGCCAAATGTCGGATCAATCCCGCAACCAGCAACGATAGTAACGTATGCAGATCTGAAGACTTTATGCATGTTTTGTAGTTGTATAGGCAGAATATGGGGATCTGATTGTGAGTTGCAGTATCTGTCAACCCATAGGTAACCAATACCAAGTGCACGAGTAACCTTGAGTGCGTCCTCGATCACCAGTGGAGCACTTGGGGGTAACCCTATGAGGTTGTTTTGTAATGTATCAGATGAGGGACCCCAACAATAGCTTAATGCTGTGTATTCAGCTTGGTCGGGTGCATTGACAATTGAACGAGTGGCGCAGTCGATGAGTCGAAAGAAGGGGATAGCGTCGAGCTTAGGCATCCTACAATCACTCGTGTGATTTCGATCGCAAAATTTGAGCCAATCCCTTGTTTGATGGAGGTCAAGCGCCTTTCCCAATTGCCCCCAGGCTCTTCCGGTGTCTATACCAGCATCGCTGTTAAGAATTGTTGGAACAACCCAACCTCGGTGCTCTTTCTTTGAAGACTTGTTCTCAATAGAGATGCTGAATAAAGTCTTGCTACTCGCAAGAACAGGGCCAGGGACGTTGTCCGTATTATGAACCCGTAACGAAAACTTGTCGGCAGCCGGCCAGTCCCAGCTCCAAGCGCAGTCTTCTATAAATCTGCACAGTTTACATTGAGTTCTTCCAGCGTAGTCTGATAAACGTCGGAAAGTAAGGATCTCCCGGCTTGTGTTAGGTCTTCGTGATAACTCTGTCTCTAAACGCAGATTGATTGAAGCACACTTCGAGCAAAGCTGCTCCATATCTGATGGCATAGCCACGAAGTCGTCTCCGACGAGCATTAGCCAAGCTCCGCCCTTCCGTTTTCTTATCTTAAGCTCCTCACAATGATCACTCAGAAATTGAGCAGGCCAGTTTTTCCCCGGTGGCACAATTGGTTGGGTGACTGCGTTGTCGTGAATACTTCGCGGGCGTCGACGTTTGATCTCTCCTGCTAGCTCGCGCACTTTGCTTGCATGCACTTCGCCCGTTGCTTGAAGCGTATTTCTTATATTGGCCAGCAAAACTTGCTCTTCAGGTCTTGTAAGATATCGTTGGTTTTCTGCTTTTTGAGCCATGGTTGGAATCCCGTGTTTGCGCCGCCACGCGTAGCTTCGATGTACTCGCTCGCCGCCAAGCTCCCCAGAAACCATGTTGTTCACTATCGGAGATCTTTTTTTTTCTAGTTCAGGTGCCCTCGTTTGATGGATTGTGAGTAATGCTATCGCCCAAGAGAATCTTGTTAGCAAACGGATCTTTCCCGATTTCAGCGCGAACACCTACAGGAAGACGACGCACGTTTATTTCTCAGTGCAATAGTCTCAAAGTCCTGCTTAGTATGTGACCCATGAATTTTTGTCACCTAAAGGACGTCGATCCCGTCTCAGGTACTTGAAATATCTAGCCCAGTCAGCCCTCCAAGACCTAGCCTCACCGCACGTCCCTTGAATCAATGCTTTCCAGGCTAATCGTGTCACGATTCTGAATGGCTGCATCGTTACTTGGACGGCACATCTGAGTTATGTTATATCTCTCGGAACCTATCATGGAAGATGGTGCAAGGATATAAGTGTTGCCTTGAGAGTCAGCCTCGCTTAGGTATGTAGAGCGTTTTAGAAGATCCAGGTTAATCGTATGAAACCTTGGGGTGGCGCAGAGCTGCGCACTGATGATTCTGTGTTCTCTCAAACGTTTGAGTAACGTGGCCGGCGCTTGCTGACAACAGCCCGATTGCTCAGAATTCTACCAGCACGCACATCCGCTGCCGTTGTATTATCATCTACTTCTTATCCTCGTCTACAAGTTTCTAGTTATTTTACAATTGGCGCACATAAAAACAGCCTTACGGAAATTAGAGTTGACATACCACGTTGAAGACCAGTCTACGCAGGAGCGCCATACGACTGTGGCGTCGACCTCCAATATATTGCTTGAATTGAGTTGAGATGATACATACGACCATAGGACACTGAAAATTAGGCTTCCCGTCCGCTCAGCCATATACAAGCAGTGTACCGGCGGATTAGTAGTTAGGTGGGTGACCACTAGCGAATCCCCGCTGTTGTATGTTTTTGTTTTTGCTTGGACGAACCCTGAGGTGATTGTTTTGGTACCAGCGTCGAACGAGTGGAAGAACAAGTATGAGCAGTGATCAGTAAGGTGAGATCAAAGGTGAAACAACGACTAGGTAACCTCAAACTATGCAGTTAAATAGGCGCATGGCAGACTGTTTTGTGCAGCCAAAGCCACTTGTGTGAACAGGCACACCAAGGCAGTATGGTCTAGAATAAAGAAATCATATCAATCTTGTAGACTTGTCAGTAATGCTTCTACGTAGAGAGAGTGGCATGACTACCATTGATAGATGGTTGAGGTATCTTAGAACGCCGTAATCCAAGCTTTTACTCCTATCGCGGCTCTGAAGATTGATACCGCGACGCCCAAACTCCATGCTCCCTTTTCATGCTATCCAGTGCTATTTCTTCTTTCCGTATGTTCGAGCTTGACTTCTTCCCGTGTATTCTTCAATGACACATAACCTGCGCGACTGCACCAAAAGCAGCTGCCCAAGCCATGTCATCAGTGATTCCTGAAATTCTTTTTCTGGTAAAACAGATCCGTCCTACTACTACCCAGATTTATAATCTTCGGGCACCCATCGCGGTCCTTCTCCAGGCGCGTGCACTCAAAGCAGTAAAAGGCGTCAGAGATGCCTTCGCCACCGCAGACGACGCATTTGTTCTGGTAGTTGCCGAAGGAGCACTCGTCGCAAATGCGAGCGAGGGTGGTCGGGCGCACGTAGGAGTCGCATACGGGGCACTTGCCGTCGCACTTGTCGCAGAGGCGACCGATGGAGATGCCGGATTGCTTGCGGCACATTACGAGATCGCTGCGTTGGATGTCAGTATAGGCGCGTATTTGTGTTGGGTGGAAGTACCTACGGATGATGGCGAGACATGGCGCGGATTTATAGATGTGGCGCAGAAGACCGACAGGCCGTATTGGAGCGATTTGGGCAAAAGTGTGTGTGTGTCTTGTGTAGGTCTGGGAGCGGTGGTGGTGTTTGTGGTGGCGCGTGGATTCGGGGCTCTAGATTCGTATGCAGAAGAAAGACAGTCGTGACTTGACCTAAGAGCTTCGGGGGTCCGCTG